GACAATTTAGAAGACAGTTACCAAAATCTGAAATGAGCATGTATGTTTCCCTCCTCTAGGAATTTATTTTTAAAAAAATACTGGCACTGGAATGCAAAGTTATATGAACAAGAACGGTCACTGAATCTTTATTGAAGCTCAATTCATAATTGCCAAGGCATGGAAGCAACCCAAGTGCCCATCAACCCATGGATTAACGAACTGTGGTATACGTATATCATAGAGTACTTATTCAGCCACAGGAAAAGCTGGAGACTTCATAGCTTTTGTGTTTACCTGGATGGAGTTGAAACACAGTCTTCTTAGTGAGGTATCTCAAGAAAGGGGAGAAAAGTATCCGACGTACTCAATAGTACTATGGAACCAATATGGAGAGGAGGGAGGGCAATTGGCAGGATCTCACCTAAAGTGCACAATGCAGGAGTGTTCAGCACACCTCCTGGATGAAGGGCTCAACTACGACTTGAACTTTACCTTAGAATTGAAAACAATATAACCTAAACGTTTGTACCCTCATATTAATTTGAAATTTTTAAAAAATGGTCATTGTACTGAAAAGATAGAAACAGCCTAAATGCCCATTAACAGGGTTTTAGTGAAATAAATTTATGAGACTTGGAGACATCATGGAGACCAGACAGATGTTATGAAAGATAAACAACGTCTTTACTTACATATTGACACAAGACATACGATGTTAATGTGAGAAAAACAGCTCACACAATTCCCACAGTGATCTTTTTTTGTTTAATACATAACCTATCTCTTAGCCGCTATAAGTTGTTACCTCTGTGGGGTAAAATTTCAAAGGAAATTTTCTCTATTATTTACACTTTTTATGGGGCACATGTGTTACTTGCATGATAATAAGTCAATAAAGATTTCCTTTTGAAAAATTAAGGGGCTCGGCGCCTGTAGCTCAAGTGGCTAAGGTGCCAGCCATATACATCTAAGGTGGCGGGGTTGAATCCAGCCCAGGCCCGCCAAATAACAATGATGGCTGCAACCAACATTAACATATATTAACTGTAACATACATTAACTCTGCGCCTGTGGTCCCAGCTACTTGGGAGGCTGAGGCAGGAGACTTGCTTGAGCCCAGGACTCGGAGGTTGCTGTGAGCTGTGATGCCACCGCACTCTATCCAGGGGGACAGCTTGAGGCTCTGTCTCAAAAAAAAAAAAAAAGAAAAATTAAGGAAGAAATATGCTATTTATACTATCCTTTGAAGGACTTAGTCACCTATTCTTTTTTTTTTTTTTTAAACAGAGTTTCAAGCTGTCACACTGGGTAGAGTGCAGTGGCGTCACAGCTCACAGCAACCTAAAACTCTTGGCCTCAAATTCTCTTGTCTCAGCCCCCCAAGTAGCTGGGACTAAGGCACCTGCCACGGTGCCCAGCTATATTTTTTTGTTTCTTGGGGATTTTTTGTTTTTGTTTTCAGTTTTCAGCTGGGGCCAGGTTTGAACCCACCACCTCTGGTATATGGGGCTGGCGCCCTACTCCTTTGAGCCACAGGCGCCAATTGTCATTGTTGTTTTAGCTGGCCTGGGCCGGTTTGAACCCACCAGCCTGGGTGTAGGTGGCCAGTGTTGTAAACACTGAGCTATGATCATGGAGCCTGAATTGATCTTTTTATCAATACACAATGTTCTTCTTTGTGTGTTGTAACAGTTTTGACTTAACATCTACTTTTTCTGAGACTAGTATAGCCACCTCTGCTCTCTTTTTGTTACTATTTGCATGGAGTATCTTTTTCCATTCATTTACATTTAACCTTTGTGTTTTTAGATCTAAAGAGAGCCTCTTGAAGATTAAAGAGTTGGATGACTTTTTTTTAATTTATCCTGTCAATCTCTGTCTTTTAAATGAGATTAATCTACTTACATTTAAAATAATTACTGTAGTGACGAACTTACTTCTATTATTGTGCTATTTGTTTTCTATATGTTTTATATCTTTTCTTGTTCTTCATTCCCTCCTATACTGTCTCCTTTTTTGACTTTTCTTGTGTATGATTTCGATTCCTTCTTCATTTCATTCTCCATGTTTTTTGGTTATTTTCTTAGTCATTGACTTGGGGGATTATAATTAACATCCTAAATTTATAAAAGACTAGTTCGAACTGATACCAAATTACTTCAGCAACATACATTAACCCTGCACTTATACAGCTCCATTCTTGCCTTCTGATTTTATTATCACAAATGACATATTTATATTATACCTATGTGCCCATTAACAAATATTTATAATTTTTTATTTATTTGGCTTTTAAATCATACAGGAAATAAGAGGAGGAATACATCGAAGATAGAATAATACTACAGCAACCCTTAAAGGTATTAGAAAATGAAGTAATTTATTCAAAATGATGAGGGAAAATAATTTTCAAATGTTAGGATAGAAGTAAGACATTTTTAAATATGAGAAGATTCTGAAAAAATTACCTAGCTCCTTCTTAAGAAGTTACTAGGGGAAGTGCTTTAGCAAAACAAGGAAGTATACCAATAAAGAGGAAGACATGGGATCTAGGAAATGGACAAAACCAGCCTAGAACATCAATAAAGAAAACTCCTGGTCTTTCTCACCTCTGCTCCTTCATAAGAGGGACATGCTTCCAACTCTCTATGGAAGTGCTCTAAACTTTTTCTTAATAAAGAAAAAGAAAGGCTTGGTCCCGCAGCTTGGTGGTTAGGGCAAGGGCCACAGGAAGGAAAGGAAAATCCCAGGATAACAACTATGGAACAAGTCTAGACAGCAGTCAGTCCAGATTGAAACAAGAGGAAGAAAGGCTCTGAGACAGAGTCCAGAGAAAACGTGGAACTAATGTATTCAAATGTATGGAAAATATTATTGCTAAACTTTTTGACAAAGTCTTAGAGCACTTGGAGGTCAAGCCAATTGTAAATACTGTCAGTAGAAAATCAGGCAAATGAGAGAAAAAAGAAAGTAGTTAACCCTAAGAAAAATGAAAGGTTATATAAACTGGAAGGCATGATGGTAGTGTTTTTCTTGGCTCATCAATAAACAATCCAAAACAATCAATAGTTTAACCAAAAATTGTTACAAACTACATAGTGGAGAGCAGAACTGATAGTCGCAACTTGTTATTTACCATGGCAGTCAACAGACTCAACAGACAATGCCAAAAAGTAACAAATCAAGAAATAACATTTTTTTAGAAATATGAAGATAAATATGAGGAAGGGTTGAGGATATTGCCTCTAAAGAGTAGGCAAGTGTAATGCTTTTTGCATTACAAGCTTTTTAGTATAATACATACACACTTAAACTATTTATATGCATCATTTTAGTTCAAAAGACATTAATATTAAAATGTTAGGATAGGCTCAGCGCCCGTAGCACAGTGGTTACAGTGCCAGCCACATACACTGAAAGTTGGCAGGTTCAAACCCAGCCTGGGCCAGGTAAGCAACAATGACAACTGCAACAACAACAAAAAAAGTAGCTGGGTGTTATGGTGGGTGCCTGTAGTCCCAGCTACTTAGGAGGCTGAGGCAAGAGAATCACTTGAGCCCAAGAGTTTGAGGTTGCTGTGAGCTGTGATGTCACTGCACTCTACTGAGGGTGACATAGTTAGACTCTGTTACTAAATAAATAAAACGTTAGGATAACAGCCCAGTCTGGCTTGCTCACTCCTGTAATCCTAGCACTCTGGGAGGCTTAAGCAGGTGGATGGCTTGAGCTCAGGAGTTCAATTTGTGACCAGCCTGAGCAAGAGTGAGACCTGTCTCTAATAAAAATAGAAAAAAATAGCAGAGCATGTTGGTGGGGGTCTGTAGTCCTAGCTACTTGTGAGGCTGAGGCAAAAGGATCACTTGAGCTTAGAGTTTGAGGTTGCTATGAGCTATGACACCAAGGCTCTCTACCCAGGGAGATAGAGGGAGACTCCGTTTCAAAAAAAAAAAAAAAAACTTGGGTGGCGCCTGTGGCTCAAAGGAGTAGAGCACCGGCCCCATATGGCAGAGGTGGCGGCTTCAAGCCCAGCCCCGGCCAAAAACTGAAAAAAACAAAAAACAAAAAAAAGATATAATTTGGGATGATTTGCAATTCCCTGGAGCTCTAAAGTAATTTGCTTTAAAGAGCTGTTGGGACCTTAATTATAGGTTCATTTTTGTTCATTTTTTAACCCCTCCCACTGCCAACACTTAGAAAAACAATTTTCTTTTTTCTGCATGTAGAAAGAATTAACTAAGTTTGTTATATTCTCCGTGGAGGAGGGAGAATACAAAACAGGATACACGGGCAGAAGGTGCAGATGTAGGACAAAGATGACTTCAAATCCCATACTCCAATGAGTACAAAGGTATTACTCTGGCAAAGGTACTGGAAGGTGAGAGTTTTAAAGGCAGAAAAAAAGCATGTTCGGGACACCCTAGGCAGCTCCCTAGGCATAGAAGTAGAGGTATGACAGGAACTCAGGGAGGTCCATCTGAGCCTAACCACCTAGGTAACTTTTCACTCCTTCCCTTCATTACTCTTTTAGCAAAGCACAGTTAATAATTTGTTTATTGTGTGTTTCCTTCTCCAGACTATAAGTTCTACGAGGGCAGGACCTCATCTATTTCATTTACCACTGTATCCCCAGCATAGATCAAGAGGCCGCTAAATATTTGTCAGAGAATGCGTGAGGAGCTATTAATCTGGAACGAAAAAGGGGCATCCACAACAAATAAGCTGACAGCAAAGAATCCTACTGAGAGATGACAAGGGCGAGCTTTTAGGGAGAGGGAGTGCGTGTCGCTGAAATGAGAAGAACAGAAGGGCGGAGTCGGAGCTCTGAGAAAAGCAAGAGGGAGGACAGTGAGAAGTGCCTCGGTGAAATGACAGCTCTAAAGGGGCCACACTCCTACCGCTGGATGTGAGGGAGGGGTCTGTGAGAAAGTAGAGGCGGGGCGATAGTATTACGTATGCGCAAGCTCAGCCTCCTCCCCCTGGCGCATTTGCGTGCGCGTGCACGATTTCGGAGCGGAACTGGCGCTACGGGGCCGCGCGTCCGGCGGCGAGCGGAAGTGGGTGTGAGAGCGGAAGTGGCCGGCTAGAGCCGGGGGCTGGGCGGGGACCGGGTTTCTCTGTGAGGCGGCAGCAGCGGCGGCGGCGGCGGCGGCGGCTCGGCAGGCGGGTTTAGGCTTCGGGGCCAGGTCGGTTGGGTGGGTGGGTATCTCCATAGTCAGTACGTACGTGGGCCAGCGCGTGCGTCTACCTCCTCCTTCCACTCCAATCCCTTTCCCCTTCTCCCTTAACCTCCTACCCCACCCAGGCCCCCTCCTCAGGGGGCCACAGGGCCGCTCCCTCCATCCTTCCCTTCCTTACCCACCCTTACCCGCCCTGTTTCTCCTTCCCCTGCTTGGGACAGCCGCCGCCATGATCCTGCTGGAGGTGAACAACCGCATCATCGAGGAGACGCTCGCGCTCAAGTTCGAGAACGCGGCCGCCGGGTGAGCACGCGCCCAGGGGTGGCGGGGGAGGCAGAGTTCGACCCCCGCAAATCCCCAGTGTGGTCCACCCCCCAGACCTGTAGAAGATAGACCAAGGGGCTGACAAGGTGTAGGGGTTGCCCGGGCTGGGTAGACGTGGGAGGCGATGGGGCGCGGTGGGGTGAGGGGCAGAGATGCGTGGGGAGCGGCTCAGAGGAGGGATGCGGAAGCAGTGAGCGGACAGGAGTGTGCGTGCCAAAGGGCTGGAGACCTGTGGGGCGTAAGGGCAGCTTGGGCTGGAAGTCAGGCTGGAGGAGCTCATTGCCCTCTGTGACTACAAGGGGACCCTTCCTTTCGTATTCCGCGCTGTTGTTACGAACCCAGAGAGTCCGTTTGGAATTGGGTTGGAAGGAGTTTTCAGGAATTCCCAGGACTGGAAGAGGGAAGATGATGCAGCCCCAGATCGCCACCAGTGTTCTCGTTCCCCGCCCCCATCTCCTCTAAAAGGAACAGGAGGGGAAGACTGAAAGCCGACCCAGTCTTGCAGCCAGAAAAACGCGATCTCTCTAGTTGCCCTTCCCCGAAAGCTACGTGAGAGACCCTGGCTACTTTGTTAGATATTTCTCAAGCAAAGCTAATTGCCCTTCTCTCCACACCCTTTCCTTATCGCTTTTTTGAGGTTCTAATGCTCCTTCCCCACCCATTGGTTATCTTTTAAATTCTTAAAGGAGACCCTTGGTCTGTGATTTCCTGGTCCAGTTAGTTACACACATCAAAATCTCAAGAATTCATAAAGTTCTGAGATAACCTTTTATATGATTGGCTATTTTTTAAGATGAGCTTAGGGCATGTTTCCAAGGCAGCCTCCTCTGTGGAACACAAGAATCAATAGAAGACAAACAACCTCCCTGAAGCTGCTTTGCTTAAAACATGAGTAAGGATTTTAGCTTCTAATTGTTGGTGGCCTGTGGCCAGTCCCTTTGCCTCCTTTCCCCATCTGTGAGGATGGGGCTTCACATTTTGGTTTCACAGTTGAGGAAATAAGTGCAAACTGTAACTGGGTACTAGTAATAAGAAAGTACTTGGAGGATCCACATTATGAGAGAGGACTGGTGGAGGGAATTTCTAAGTGGTTACAATGAACTTGTGACTTGAAGACATTAAAAAAAAAAGGTACCAACTTACTGCTTAAATTTAATATATTGTGTGTCCTCTTTTATAATGCCACAGATTTTATCTGTAAAACAAAGCACTACTTTCCTTGAAGTAATGTGTGCAGGGAGCAGTACTGTTTCCTGCCAGGAGCTGCAGTTGCTTATATTTTAAGCTGACTTCTTTATTGTCTTCAGCTTCTCTTACCAGTAGCTTTGCATTTTAAATATTCAAGCATATCAGCCCAGGGTCTTATTTTGGGTGATTGCTGTGTACTTTTTTCCAGCAGCATAGGACCCAGGAGGAAGTTGAATTAACTTCTGCATTTTCACAACTGATCTTAGTGCATCCTCAGGTCCAGACTAGCAAAGAATGAGACCTGGGTGGTTATAAGCTGATCTACAAGATAAATGGCTGCGTATTTTCAAGTAGAGGCATGTCTTTCATTGTAGGAATATGTTCACATATCTGTTGGTGTATTAATAACTTCTGATTGCAAAATGTGATCCATTATTCAGAACTTCTGCTCTTTTTCTTTTAGAAAAGTATTTTTAAAAATAACAGCTAACCATTTCAGAGGCATTAAAGTAGTCCCTCAAGTCTGGAAAGCATAAGTTACAACTTCCAGGACATTTTTTACAAAGATACACATTGTAGCAAAGTTGAATGGGAGGGGTAGTAATTTTGGCTTTTATTCTGGTCCATCTCTCCTTTCAGATGTGACTTTCAATAATTGGCAAAACATTCTGCCAAAAATTACTTTGAAGATCCTTGAAAAGATACTGTGACAGCATGCCTAGTAGGTAGGACTTTCCCTGCAAAAGCCTAAAGCAAGTGTAAGTTTTCAGGCATTTCAGTAAGGTGAGACAGCAGCGAAGCAGTTAAGTATTTATCAAGGTTCATGCCTATGCCAGAAACTAGTGTGATTATGGATGCTACCAGTGCTTAGTTAGTACCAGGCAGCAACAGAAAAAGGGGGCCTTTCTGAGAGCCTATTAGCCAAGTTATGGGGGAGGGGGGGCGGGGAGAAGAGAGATATTGGGGTAGAGATCTGAGTAAAACATTAAAGAAAGGGAGTGGCTTGGAGGAGAAACCTAGGAGATTTGAAAGTTTTGCCAGCGTGGGAACCTGCTGGGAAGGGTCAGCTCCACCCTGCATTTTATACTTCTCAGAATAAACCAATTGGGGAAATTATCATTCAGAACAACCTTTCCAGAATGTGTCTTCCATCTCTGGGATGTCAGTAAGATAGCCATACATGTGGCTGGCTAAATTTATGTAAAAATTAATTAAAGTGAAATAAATTTAAAATTGAGCTCCTTAGTCACAGGAGCCATCTTTGTAGTACTCCCTTGCCACATGTGGCTTGTAGTTGCTGTGCTTTTTGCAGATGTGGGACATTTTCATTATTGCACAAAATTCTTTTAGCACTGCTCCAGCTACTGAAAATGAAAGCATGAAATAATCTTAAAAATAATTCTGTGGCGGGCGATGCTTGTGGCTCAGTGAGAAGGGCGCTGGCCCCATATACCAAGGGTGGTGCATTTGAACCAGCCTCGGTCAAACTGCAGCAAAAAAAATAGGTGGATGTTGTGGCAGGTGCCTGTAGTCCCAGCTACTTGGGAGGCTGAGGCAAGAGAATCGCCTAAGCTCAAGAGCTGGAGGTTGCTATGAGCTGTGACACTCTACCGAGGGTGACAAAGTGAGACTCTATCTCTAAAAAAAAAAAAAAAAAAGTTCTGTGGCATATACCTCAGAGTGCATTGCATTAAATATCCTTTTGAGGTTGATCTTTTTTTAATGATTCCTCTTGGATCATGAATTGTCTTGCTTGTGACATCCTACTAAAAGGCTGAACTTTTCTGAGTAAAGCAGTTCTGCCATCCAGACTGTATAAAATTACATTTGGTTATGATTACTTTTTAATTTGAAGGCAGTTCAGCAAAGGCTAAGGTTCATTCCAAACAAATTGCCTTTTTTTTTTTTTTTTTAAGAGTGCTATGGTATCACAGCTCACAGTAACCTCAAATTCTTGGGCTTAAGTAATCCTCTTGCCCCAACCTTCCAAGTAGCTGGGATACAGGCTTGTGCTACTATGCCTGGCCAGTTTTTTCTATTTTTAGTAGAGATGGGAGTCTCATTCTTACTCAGGCTGGTCTTGAACTCCTGAGCTCAAGCAGTCTACCCACCTCAGCCTCCCAGATGTCAGCCACCACACCTGGCACAAATTGCTTTTTATCTTTTTTGTAACACTCCTAGGAGTGACTTATTAAAATGATTCATGTAGCCTCACAAAGCGATAATTATTGGTAAATTATCTTCCTAACAGTTTGTAAACTGAGAGAATGTGACTTGTTAAAAAGCTACCCTAACACTGCAAATAACCTCCTGAACAGGTCTAATCAAGAGCATTGCCATTTCATTTAGGAGTTCTTACTCAGACCCCCTATTAAAACAGAAATAACCTGGCAAATTAATCTAATTTTCTTGTTAGTGTGCGCACCAAGAACCTTTTCAGCCTCAGAAGCTAGGCCTCTCAACTTAACAGAGTCAAGAATTGAGGAAATAATGTTAGATGCGAATTGCTATTGATTTTAAGTGCATGCTGGCTCCTTGCCACAGCCTGTACATATTATGAGGAGCTGTGGTTCTGTGAGGGGGAGTGAAGCTCAGTGAGCAAGCTGTGCCAGTTAGGGTGGGCGAGGACTGTGGGAAGAGAAATTCTAGAAAAGCATAAATTATATCTTGCTGATACCTTGTTCTGATTCCCAAATATGCTGCATATGTCCTCAGAGAGACAGGCTAGTTTGAAATGATTTGGAATTAGGGCATTGTTTAAACATTTAGAAGAAACGGAATGTAGTGTCTGACTTGCTAAGAAGACCTGGTTGGTCTTTTTACAGGTCATTGTAGTTTATACACTGCTGCCTGTCCTCCGGCCTCCTTGGAATCACTTTGGGCATTAATCCCCAGAGGCGCACTCCACCAAATTGATGACTCCTTAAGGGCTGGGTCTATAATTTTAGTCATTTTTGTTTCACCAGCATTCTTTATATATGCTTTAGTCAGCTCAGTAAATGTTTTCTTGAAGGAATGAATGAAGCCAGATAGAACAATTCTTGGCTTTTTTAGGAGCTGTCACTTTTCTGACATTGTGTGAATCAGCTGTTCTTTTCCTCTGTACTTTTTGAGATGAGTTAGCAGAGAATAGAACCGCTTCTTACTAATATCCATTTTGTTTTACTGATTACTGACTTCTCAGAAACTTCCTTAGAAAAAGGATACAAGAATTTTTTTTTTTTTTTGAGACAAGAGTCTCACTTTGTCGCCCCTGGTAGAGTGTCATGGTGTCATAGCTCAATAGCAACCTCAGACTCCTGGACTTAAGCGATTCTCTTGCCTCAGCCTCCCAAGTAGTTGGAATTACAGGTGCCTGCTACAATGCCTAGCTAATTTTAGAGGTGAGGTCTCACTCTAGCAGGCTTCTCTCAAACTAGTGAACTCAGGCAGTGCACCTTCCTCGGCCTCCCAGAATGTTGGGATTATAGACGTGAGCCACCCCGTGGCTAAGAATTTTTTTTCTAAAGGACTTTAAGAATAGCTCTTGAGGCTCGGCACCTGTGGCGGCTAGGGCGCCAGCCACATACACCTAAGGTGGCGGG